CCGCAGCCTCGACCTGCTGGGCTCCGGCGATCCTTCCGCCTCAGCCTTCCGAGTAGCTGGAACTACAGGCGCGTGCCACCATGCCCGGGTAATTTTTGATTTATTGTAGAGATGAGGTCTTGCCAAGTTGCCCAGGCAGGTCTCAAACTCGCGGGCTCAGGCAATCCGCTCACCTCGGCCTCCCAAAGCGCTGGATTACAGGCTGAGCCACTGAGCCGGCCTGGAATATTTCAACAGTCCCATCTGGCTCTAACTTCTTGGGTTTCTAGGATAAAAGTTATTGCTGTCCTCAGTCTTGTGGAGTGCTTTCATAATCTCTCCTGGTACTCGGAAGCTTCTAGTCACTCAACAGGAACCATTCCTTAAAGGCACATTTTCTGGGTGCACTTCAGTAGCACTTTCTCTTGACAGAAGCCCTGAGTCACTTTCCACTAGGCTTTCCAGTGCTACTTGTTCCTTCCAGGACAACATCCTCCTGGGTTACACCTAGCTAGGAGAGAAAGGGAAGTCCGCCTACATGGAGTTAGCCCTAACTAGTGATTTTAGAGGGGAGCTGCGTTTGTAAGTTGACTCGAAAAGTCTTGAATTCTTTCATGCACTGGAAAGAACAGGAGAGAGGATGTATTATGATAAGCTGGGTGATGGGTACCTAGGGGGTTCAGTGAACGAGCTGTGGCCAGTCTCTGTCTCTCCCTCCCCCACTTAGGTCGGCTCCCTGGATGTCCTCCCTGCCTGAGAGGATGGCAGCTTATTATCATCATTCTTTCATGTAAGTTCTAATCACTGAGATATTAATGGTAACCCCATTTTCCACGGAAGCAGGCACTGTATAAATGAGTTGCTTGCATTATTCTCAATAGCTGAAATGTGGAAACAACCCATGTGACCATGGACAGATAACTGGATAAGCAAAATGTGGTATAAATACACACATACATATACACAATAGAATATCAATCAGCCTTGAAAAGGAAGAAAATTCTAACACACACTACTACCTCGAAGACAAAATGCTAAGTGAAATAAACCAGTCACAAAAGGACAATATTGTGTGATTCCACTTGGACAAGGTACATAGAGTAATAAAATTCACGGGCACAGAAAGTAGAAGGGTGGTTGCTAGGGACTGGGGGTGGGGGGGATGGGGAGCTGTTATTTAATGAGGACAGGGTTTCTCTTTGGGGAGATGAAAAAGTTGTGAAGATGGAGGGTGGTGATGGTTGCACAACAATGTGAATGCGCTTAAAGTCACTGAGTTGTACACTTGAAAGTAGTTAAGACAGGGTTCAGTGGCTTAGCCTATAATCCCAGCACTTTGGGAGGTCAAAGTGAGTGGATTGCCTGAGCCATGGGTTTGAGACCAGCCTGGGCAACTTGTTGAGAACTCATCTCTACAATTAAAAAAAAAAAAAAAAATAGCTGGGAGTGGTAGCTACTTGGAAGGCTGAGGTAGAAGGATCGCCAGAGCCCAGCAGGTCGACACTGGGGTGGCTGTGAGCGTGCCACTACTCTCCAGCCTGGGTGACAGAGTGAGACTTTGACTCAAAAAAAAAAAAGAAAAGAAAGAAAATAGTTAAGATGGTAAATTTTATGTATATTTTATCACAACTTAAAAAATATAAATAAATGAGTTGCTGGATCAAAGTCTTTTTGGGGAGAAGAAGGGAACTTTTTTTCAGTCAAGGACTCACTCACTCTGTCACCTAGGCAGGAGCGCAGTGGCACGATCACAGCCTCCACCTCTGGGCTCAGGAGATCCTTCTGCCTCAGTCTCCCAAGTAGCTGGGACTACAGGCACGTGCCACTACACCTGGCTAATTTTAAAATCTTTTTGTAGAGAAGAGGTCTCACTATGTTGCTCAGGCTGAGAAGATAGAAAATTTAAATCCATTCAGAATCTCTCCTCAAAATACCTAACAATAGCAAGACAGTTATGATCCTCTCACTTGTTCAAAAACAACAGACACTAGAATGCAAGCTCCGTAAGGGCAGGGACACTGATATCGAACTCCTGGGCTCAAGCAATCCTCCCATCTCCACCTCCCAACTCTTGGCTCAAGCAGTCCTCCCATCTCTGCCTCCCAAAGTGCTGTAAGAATTATAGGCATGAGCCAGTGCGCCCGGCCAATTTTGTTGTTTTAGAAGAGTTCTGTACTGAAAGAAATATCGGCCCTTCTAGAAACTTCTTTTTTAAGTTAACATGATCTCATTTGAAAGATCATCTGTTTCAGATAAGAGTCATCTGATCTCTAACTCAGCCTGTGATGGTTGCTAACAGAACAATGGATTTTACAGGACACCCAAGGGAAGAGTGCTAGAGGAGGAAGGAGTGTGCTGGAAAAATGCTGAGAGGTATCCAAGAATAAAAGTCTTCGCGTCTCATTAATCCTGAAACTTTTACTGCAGTGTAATTAACTGCTGTTTCAGTTGCCTTATCAAGAAGGAAGGGCTGCTAGGCGAACACAGAGAAGGGCTGTCTTTCTCCCTCTCGCCTTCTCCTCTGGGACATTTTGCTCCTTTCTGGGCTGAAGTGGGGAGAGAGCAAGGGAAGCTCACATTTTGCTAGAAGGGCCCCTCACAGCGGAGGCAGGTTCAAGAAAACCAGCCAAGCCCACTATAGACCATAAAGTCATTCTTGCTAGGTATAAACACAAAAATAAAGGTTTGATTCCACAAAGGTTTAAGATCCCCAAACACAGAAACCATGAACATATCTGACAAAGAAACTTTGACTTCTAATACAGGATTTGGGGCATTTTGAAAGAAAGAAATCTATGACACAGGAATGAGGATAAACCTAGGTTAATATCAAGCAGTAAGTGATAAAACTGAGGATTAATGAGACTTCTAATGAATTATAATCAGTCATGTATTTTAAGTTCCTTTGAAGAATTTACAATGAACAGTACTAATAAGATTTTGTTGTTGTATTGTTGTACAAGTGACAGAGAAAACATAGTGATTTTCCTCTTGGCCTGATTGTGTCTGTTAAAAGCCTGTTTGTGGTGGCTCAAGCCTGTAACCCCAGCACTTTGGGAAGCTGAGGTGAGAGGATTGCCTGAGCTCAGGGGTTCAAGACCAGCCTGGGCAACTTGGTGAGACCTTGTCTCTACAATAAATAAAAGAATTAGCCAAGTGTGGTAGCGTGGACCTGTAGTTCCAGCTACTTGGAAGGCTGAGGCGGAAGGATGGCCAGAGACTAGCAGGTCGACGCTGGGTTGGCCATGAGTGTGCCACTGCACTCCAGCCTGGGTGACGGAGTGAGACTCCAACTAAAATAAATAAATAAAAGCCTGTTTGATAAGAGCCTGTGCTTGGTGGGAGCTCTCTTTGATTTCAGGCAATAAACCAAGTGAAAAAAACCTGTTGCCCTTGCAAATTAAATGCATAAGAACGTGACAGCAATAGTTCTGCCTTTTTCTCCGCCTCTACTTTCACACCTCAATCTTTCTTTCTTTCTTTTTTTTTGAGTTGGAGCTTCACTCTTTCACCCAAATTGGAGTGCAGTGACCACTCCCAGCCACTGCAGCCTCAACCTGCTGGGCTCCGGCGATCCTTCCACCTCAGCCTTCCAAGTAGCTGGAACTACAGGCGCGCGCTACCACGCCCAGCTAATTTTTGATTTATTGTAGAGATGAGGTCTCGCCAAGTTGCCCAGGCAGGTCACGAACCCGCAGGCTCAGGTAGTCCACTCACCTCAGCCTCCCAAAGTGTGGGATTACAGGCTGAGCCACTGAGCCTGGCACCTCAATCTTTCTATTCTTCCTATTCATAATATTTACACTATTCTCTTTCCCTCAATCAAAAAAGGTATTTCAAAATATTAAAACAGTATATAGGAGAAGTGATGGATAAAAGATGAGGCATAAGATAAAGGTTATATGCTTCTTTTTTTTTTTGAGTTGGAGTCTCACTCTGTCGCCCAGATTGGAGTGCCGTGGCCACTCCCGGCCACCGCAGCCTTGACCTGCTGGGCTCCAGCAATCCTTCTGCCTCAGCCTTCCAAGTAGCCGGAATTACATGCATGTGCTACCACGCCCGGCTGATTTTTTTGATTTATTGTAGAGATGAGGTCTCGCTGCCCAGGCGGGTCTCGAACCCGCGGGCTCAGGCAATCCACTGACCTCAGCCTCCCAAAGGCGCGGGATTATCCTTTTTTTTTTTTTTTTTTTTGATTTGGAGTCTCACTCTGTTGCCCAGGCTGGAGTGCAGTGGCACACTCAGAGTCACCCCAGCATCTACCTGCTGGGCTCTGGCGATCCTTCCTCCTCAGTCTTCCAAGTAGCCAGAACTAGAGGCATGAGCTACCATGCCTGGCTAATTTTTTAAAAATTTCATTGCAGAGACAAGGTCTCACCAAGTTGCTGGGCTTTCCTCGAACCTGCGGGCTCAGGCAACCGACTCGCCTTGGTCTTTCAAAGTGCTGGGATTACAGGTTGAGTCACCAAGCCCGGCTTCTTTTTTTTTTAACTTATACTTTCAGAGATGAGAGGTTTTACTATGCTGCGCGGGCTGATCTCGAACTCCTGGGCTCTTGCAATTCTCCTGTCTCAGCCTCCCAAAGTATTGGGATTACAGGTATGAACCACCATGCCTGGCCACCACATGCTTCTTACAACATACTTGCTGGGTGCAATGACTCACGCCTGTAATCCCAGCACTTTGGGAGCCGGAGGTGAGAGGATTGCCTGAACCCAGGGGTTTGAGATCAGCCTGGGCAACTAGGTGAGACCTCGACTCTACAATAAATCATAAAGTTATCCGGGCGTGATGGCATGCATCTGTGATTCTAGCTACGTGGAAGGCTGAGGTAGAAGGATCGCCTGAGCCCAGCAGGTCGAGGCTGCCGCGGCAGAGAGAGTGCCACTGCACACTTCAGCCTGGGTGACTGAGTGAGACTGACTTAAAAAAAAAAAAAAAGATAACACATACTCAAACTTAGAATTGTAGCAAAACTCTTTTTTTTTTTTTGAGTTGGAGTCTCACTCTGCCGCCCAGACTGGAGTGCAGTGGCCGCTCCCAGCCACCGCAACCTCGACCTGCTGGGCTCTGACGATCCTTCCACCTCAGCCTTCCAAGTAGCCGGAATTACAGGCGCCCAGCTGATTTTTTGATTTATTGTAGAGATGAGGTCTCGCTGCCCAGGCGGGTCTCGAACCCACGGGTTCAGGCAATCCACTCACCTCAGCCTCCCAAAGGCGCGGGATTACAGGCTGAGCCACCGAGCCCGGCTGCAAAACTCTTTTAATGTAACAGCTAACTCATTTGGTTATTCCTGTTTAATTGTCTAAGGTAACTGTGGGGCCCACTTGTATGCTTTCTACAGTTGTAGATTTTTTTTTTTTGAGTTGGAGTCTCACTCGGTCGCCCAGACTGGAGTGCAGTGGCCACTCCCGGCCACCGCAGCCTTGACCTGCTGGGCTCCGGCGATCCTTCCGCCTCAGCCTTCTGAGTAGCTGGAACGACAGGCATGCACTACCACGCCCGGCTAATTTTTTGATTTATTGTAGAGATGAGGTCTCGCCAAGTTGCCTAGGCGGGTCTTTTTGACACTGCAAATAGGTGTGAACTATGATGCAACAAGCAGAAAGTGAGTTCAGGGAGTGGTCACAATCCAATACTTTGGGGCCCCTATAAGCCACTATAAAGACATCGCAGGAAGGAGGTTCTGGAAGGCAGCCGAGCTAGGCAGAGCAGTGAACCTAGGCCAATGCCCAAAGCCTGGAACCCAAGGCCAGAGGGAGCATCAGTAAACATTACACAGCCTAGACTGTGCGCTGGGCAGGGCTGAGTTCGGAGGGGATAGTGGAAGGGAATGGAGTCTGGCTCCCGCCCTGGCCCTCCATTTGCCTTCTACAACAAAACAGAGCAAGATGCCTTCTGCTGACTCCACAGGCAAACCCCAGGCTACAGATTTCAGGTCTTAGCCCCCCACCTCCATCCAACTTTACCTGCAGGACTCAGCAGGGAGAGGTGACTTGACTTCACTTGCATAAGAATGTTAGGGGTGGGGCTTCTGGGTGAAACCTGGGCTCAAAACACTTAGCCCAACTGGTTTGTGAAGACGACTCTTGCCTTTCTTTCTTTCTTTTTTTTTTTGAGTTGGAGTTTCACTCCATCGCCCAGACTGGAGTGCAGTGGCCACTCCCGGCCACCGCAGCCTCGACCCACTGGGCTCCGGCGATCCTTCTACCTCAGCCTTCCGAGTAGCCGGAATTACAGGCGCGCGCTACCACACCTGGCTGATTTTTTTTAAATTTATTGTAGAGATGAGGTCTCGCCAAGTTGCCCAGGCGGGTCTCGAACCCACAGGCTCAGGCAATCCACTCACCTCAGCCTCCCAAAGGCGCGGGATTACAGGCTGAGCCACTGAGCCCGGCTCTTGCCTTTCTTTCTATGGGTCACTTGGAGAAATCTCATGAGATCTACAAATTCCCACCTCCTAATCTTCCAAAAACCTCTCTGCACACCGTTTTACACAATTTTATGAGTTTCACGACCTCCTGAAATTTAGTCCCTGCTCTAGAAGTTCCTGTACGAAGTGTTGCTGAAGGAGTTCATGACATGCCACCCTGAAATACGCCACTATGGCCTACTGATTCTTTTTTTTTTTTTATTTTGAGTTGGAGTCTCACTCTGTTGCCCAGGCTGTAGTGTAGTGTCATGCTCAAGGCCACTGCAGCCTCAACCTTTTGGGCTGAGGGATCCTTCAGCCTCAGCCTTCCAAGCAGCTGGAACCACACCCTACCACGTCTGGCTAATTTTTTTTTATTTATTGTATAGATGAGATCTCGCCATGTTGTCCAGGCTGGTCATGAATGACTGGACTCAGGCAATTCTCCCCTTCCCAAAGTGCTGGGATTACAAGTGTAAGCCACCACACCTAGCCCTGGAGACGTTTTGTTGACAAGAGCTATCTCAGAGCACACACTGGCACCTGCCTCTGCAGTGGGTGTTGACCAAGTCGCAGTTCAGAGCATGATGGATGGAGTTCTGCTATTGGAGGCTAGGAAGGAGGGGGCTGTGGCCTTTTGAAGACAGCCATTGAAAACCCTGTCTGAGACCGGGTGTGGTGGTTCATACCCATAATCCCAGCACTTTGGGAGGCCCAGGTGAGATGACTGCCTGAGCCTGCAGGTTCGAGACCAGCCTAGGCAACTTAACGAGACCTCATCTCTACAATAAAAAAATAAAAAAATTAGCTGGGCATGGTGGTGCATTCCTGAGGTTCCAGTAACTTGGAATACTGTGGCGGAAGGATTACCTGAGCCCAGCAATAGGTCAAGGTTGCAGTGTTTGTGAGCGTGCTATTGCACTCCAGCTTGGGCAACAGAGTGAGACTCCAACTCAAAAAAAAAAAAAAGAATACCTTGTCTGGGCACAGAGCAGTTAAGGCTGGCAGAAGGGTAGCTGAGAGGAACCACAAACATTAGGACAAAGGTTAAATATTTCCATCTGCTGGCTTCTCTGTGTCCACCTGGTCTAAGAAGACACAAGTGGAGGATGCCCAGTGATTTACTCTCCACCCAGATTCCTCTGAAGCCTTCCTTCAAGATGTGGGGAGGGGTGCACATTTGAGCACAAAGGTTGTTGCATTACCTTGGGTATCTTTCTCTTCTTCCTGCCGTTCTGCGGGTCTCCAAGGTTAAAGAAAGTGTCGTCAGGGCTGCTGGGAGTAGAGGGAGGGCTGATTTTGGAAGGAGACCCAGTTCCATCCCGACTTAGTTTCCTAGTGTCCAGTAGCTTGAAGTTCCTCCTTTCTGAATTTTGCCGGAAAAAAGCAGGTTTGGACAATGATTGCTGGGAGGAGGAAGGAGAAAAGAAGAATAAATAAACATAAAGGGGCCAGGCGCGGTGGCTCAAGCCTATAATCCCAGCACTTTGGGAGGCCGAGGCGAGAGGATTGCCTGAGCCCAGGGGTTTGAGACCAGACTGGGCAACTTGGTGAGCCCGCGTCTCTATTATGTATCAAAAAATTAGCTGGGAGTGGTAGCACACTCCTATAGTTCTGACCTTGGAAGGCTGAGGTTGAAGGATTGCCTGAGCCCAGCAGGTTGATGCTGGGGTGGCTGTGAGCGTGCCACGGCACTCCAGCCTGGGCGACAGAGTGAGACTCTGACTCAAAAATAAATAAATAAATAAGCACAAAGGGTACTAACCAGGAGAAAACCGGTGGTTCCAGGGACGGTGATGCCACGGGTGAGGGCATCTAGAGTCTACTTATGCTAATAAGTGCTCAAGGAACGCATCCAATTATGAAAAATCTGTGTTAAAAAAATATAAACTGAATCCAGTTTCTCTTTATAGACAAGTGAGAAGCCACCTGGCTCCATGCCCAGACTCTAAGATGAGGCTTTCTGACACTCCAACACATGTGTGCTGGGAGTTACAAGTCTCTAAGCCTAACTTTGACCTTGCTGATGCTTGCCGAGTACCTTCTATACTAGAAATTTTGCTTCTCTGGACCTTAGTAATATATATATATATATATATTTCTTTTTTTTTTTTTTTCTGAGAAAGCAGGATTTATTGAGAGGACAGAAAAGCTCCTAGAGCCAGAGGGGACCTAAGGGGGTTGTCCAGTAATATATTTCTAAAACAAGCCACTTTAAAGTCAAAAGATAAACAAAAAGGTTGCTAAAAAAACTCTACAATGCATAACATAGAAAAGAACTCATTTTCCTAATACATACTCAAATAAGAAAAAAACTAACAATTCAAAAGAAAAACAGGCAAAATATAAGAATATTAAATTTATAGAAAATAAAATGAAATGATTCTTAGATATATAAAAAGATTCTTGGCTGGCAGCAGTGGCTCAAGCCTGCAGTGGCTCAAGTACTTTGGGAGGCCAGGGGAGAGAATTGACCAAGTCTACAGGTTTGAGACCAGCCCAGCCAACTTGGTGAGACCTCGTCTCTACAGTAAATCAGAAAAATTAGCTGGACGTGGAGGTGCCCACCGGTAGCTCCAAATACTTGGAAGACTGAGGCAAAAGGATCGCCTGAGCCCAGCAGGTCGAGGCTGTGGTGGTCTTGAACTTGCCACTGCACTCCAGCCTGGGCGACAGAGTCAGACTCCAACTCAAAACAACAACAACAAAGGCCATTGCCGTGCTAGACTCTGATGTGGGCATGTGCTCTTTGAGCTATGGCTGTCGCCATGCCTCCTGGCTTTGGCCCCCTCCCCCACCTTGGGGAGGTGAATCTTCTCTCTCTCTCTCATTTACTTCAAATAAACTATATTTTCCAATCTAACTTCTGTGCAATTCTTTGCATCTTTCACGTGGCATCAGATCGTACTCCAGGCACCCACTCCCCCAGTGGGCCTAACCTAAAATTCTGGAGGCCCCACTGGAAGAATGTGACTCTAACACAGGGAACAAGTAAATTTTTTTTTTTTGAATTGGAGTCTCACTCTGTCGCCCAGACTGGAATGCAGTGGCCACTCCCGGCCACCGCAGCC